AAGAGAGAGTATTCATTACAATCCTCTCTCACAAAAAAGTCAAAAAGCCAAAAGTCAAAAAGCCCTTCCCAAACCAGGCTAAAATAGCTCAGGCTAAAATAGCCAAAAAGCCAAAAAGCCAAAAAGTCAACCCACCTCCCAAACGGAGGCTGAGTAGGGCAGATCAACTTGTTATGTGTTAAAGGCACAGTAGCATCCCTATACCAGATCTATGGAAATCAATAATGGATTTCTTTCAAATTTTAATATCTGGGAAGTGTTAAAAAATAATAGGTTAGGCTTACCTCCGGTTCTCATCTCGACTCGAGGGTGTTGTTCAAATCATAGGATCATTACAGGTTTTGCTTTGATGATTTGAATGATTTAGTAAGCTCCTTTGTAAATATCATCCAAAAAAAAAAATTGATTCGATAATTGTGGCTTGTTTATTTAATCGTTGTTATTTCTAGAAAAATAAACGATAAATGTGTTTTTTAAATAAGTCATTTTTTTTATATAGATAAACACACTAAAATGAATATATTATCGGATCAAATAAATTTTTTCATGGACAATATACATACAAAAATTATATAAAATGAACGGTTCAAATCATTAAAATGAGACTTATAATGGGCTCAATGCAAATATATATTTTTAAAACTTCATTTTAAGACAAATTTTATTTCACTATAGTGCACTGTTAAGCTAGGTGTCTAAGTAATCTCAATATAAGCCATAGACATTTTCATTGTTTGTTTATTTTTTTAAGCAAAATTCACTTTTAAGCCTTATGTTTTATTTTACTAGCGGTTGGGCACACGCGCGATGCGTGTGCAAACTCGTTTGGAATTATAACGTGAAATTCACATTAAATTTTCTAATAATGCACATATAAATCACATGTATAACTATGTGTAATGTAACATTTGATATTAAGATATTGATAAATAAAATATATATGTTAAAATTTGTTCGATTTATTTTTAAAAAAATATATAATATTTACTAATCTTAACTAAAGAAAACCTTACAACAAAAATTCATATAAAATCTCAATTTGGTAAGATAAGACTAAAGATCTTACAAATCTTGCAAAAAATATATAAGATACATGTTAAAAATTAATTTACAAACAATGTACATTGATCAAATTAGAATTTTACGTTGTTAAAATGAGCCACAATAGTACACATGCGTACTTTGACTAATGAAATATAATAATAATTTTGGTTTTCTAATTGGCTTATTATATATAAAGGCACAAAATGTAAATATTATTAAAGTTTTTTATAAATGAAACTAAAAAATTTAAAAATTACATTTTGACATAGATTAACATAGTCCAAATCAAATGGAAAAGAAATCCAAAACTTTTTAAGTCTAAGTCTAAACAATTACACACATTTTATGCTTCATAGTTTTTTAAATATATATATATATATATATATATGAATATAAACTTCAAATATAAGTGTTTTTTTTTTTTCAAAAGGAACTTGATATAACATAATGGATCTTTTTATTTTCTATGAAAAGTATAATTAACAGTATACACCAAAAAATACAAAAATACAAATTCAAGACTCTCAAAACACTTACAAATGTAAAATTTAAGAATACTGAAGAACACTAAATTTATTTTGGATTCAAGTTAATGTATACAACAATTTTATATATATAATGTTATGTACATCATTTGTGTTTTGATGCAATTGTTTGGGTTTGATTTATTTGTTTGTTGTTTTAATAGTGTTCAACTTCTTTGTTTTAATTTTTTTAAACTGTCAAGTGTATATTAATCTCTTTATCTGTAAGTGTTTTAAGAATCATTGGTGTCATTTGTTTGTTCAAAAAAATAAAAATTAAGCATTTTAAAATTTTCTGGATGTGTTTAAAAAATTTAGTGTTCTTCAGTATTCTTAAATTTTACATTTATAAGTGTTTTGAGAGTCTTGAATTTGTATTTTTGTATTTTTTGGTGTATTACTGTTAATTATACTTTTCATAGAAAATAAAAAGATCCATTATGTTATATCAAGTTCCTTTTGAAAAAAAAAAAAAACACTTATATTGTAAGTTTATATTCATATATATATATATATTTAAAAAACTATGAAGCATAAAATGTGTGTAATTGTTTAGACTTAGACTTAAAAAGTTTTGGATTTCTTTTCCATTTGATTTGGACTATGTTAATCTATGTCAAAATGTAATTTTTAAATTTTTTAGTTTCATTTATAAAAAACTTTAATAATATTTACATTTTGTGCCTTTATATATAATAAGCCAATTAGAAAACCAAAATTATTATTGTACTTTATTAGTCAAAGTACGCATGTGTACTATTGTGGCTCATTTTAACAACGTAAAATTCTAATTTGATCAATGTACATTGTTTGTAAATTAATTTTTACATGTATCTTATATATTTTTTGCAAGATTTGTAAGATCTTTAGTCTTATCTTACCAAATTGAGATTTTATATGAATTTTTGTTGTAAGGTTTTCTTTAGTTAAGATTAGTAAATATTATATTTTTTTTTTAAAAAATAAATCGAACAAATTTTAACATATATATTTTATTTATCAATATCTTAATATCAAATGTTACATTACACATAGTTATACATGTGATTTATATGTGCATTATTAGAAAATTTAATGTGAATTTCACGTTATAATTCCAAACGAGTTTGCAAACGCATCGCGCGTGTGCCCAACCGCTAGTAAAATAAAACATAAGGGCTTAAAAGTGAATTTTGCTTAAAAAAATAAACAAACAATGAAAATGTCTATGGCTTATATATGAGATTACTTAAACACCTAGGCTTAACAGTGCACTATAGTGAAATAAAATTTGTCTTAAAATGAAGTTTTAAAAATATATATTGGCCTGGGCTTGCCTCCACTGGAGAGGGTGTTATTTGGGTTCATTGAGCCCATTATAAGTCTCATTTTAATGATTTGAACCGTTCATTTTATATAATTTTTGTATGTATATTGTCCATGAAAAAAATTTATTTGATCCGATAATATATTCATTTTAGTGTGTTTATCTATATAAAAAAAAATGACTTATTTTAAAAAACACATTTATCGTTTATTTTTCTAGAAATAACAACGATTAAATAAACAAGCCACAATTATCGAATCAATTTTTTTTTTTGGATGATATTTACAAAGGAGCTTACTAAATCATTCAAATCATCAAAGCAAAACCTGTAATGATCCTATGATTTGAACAACACCCTCGAGTCGAGATGAGAACCGGAGGTAAGCCTAACCTATATTTTTTTAACACTTCCCAGATATTGAAAATTTTGAAAGAAATCCATTATTGATTTCCATAGATCTGGTATAGGGATGCTACTGTGCCTTTAACACATAACAAGTTGATCTGCCCTACTCAGCCTCCGTTTGGGAGGTGGGTTGACTTTTTGGCTTTTTGGCTTTTTGGCTATTTTAGCCTGAGCTATTTTAGCCTGGTTTGGGAAGGGCTTTTTGACTTTTTGGCTTTTTTGACTTTTTTTGTGAGAGAGGATTGTAATGATTATGGGTTGGCTTCCCAGATATTGAAAATTTTGAAAGAAATCCATTATTGATTTCCATAGATCTGGTATAGGGATGCTACTGTGCCTTTAACACATAACAAGTTGATCTGCCCTACTCACAAGAACTGATATCGGGTCTATTTTAATAATCTGAATCGTTAAATTGTAAGGTTCGTCAAGTAGAGTATTCATGATAAAAACTAAAGTTAATCAGACATTTTTAACCACATGATCAGGCTTTAAAAATAAATAATTTATTATCAAAATCATATTTACCATTTATTTTTTAAAAAACAAATGTGATATTGTTATATAGACACAAATGTCCAATTAATTTGATTTTTTTGATAAATAATCTATTCGACAAATCATATGATTTGAATCATCAATATAAACCCGGTGTTGACTCCACAAGGGGTAGAACAGCATATCTCCCTGTCTCTCCAACGACCCTTCTCAATTTTTTTTTTTAAAAATAATTATTTTTTTAAAAAATTGATTTTATTGATTATTTTTAGGATAAATAACAAATACACTCTCTCTAAAGTTTACATAAAATACAAATTATCCCTGTGATTTGAGTAGTTTAGAAAATTACAAATATCTCCCCGTCATAATTTTTTATTTAATAGAATTAATTGAAAAAGTAAAATTTCTAATTGTTCACCTATACAATAATAAAATTATTAATTGAAATAAAATTTTAACATTATTAAAAACTGTTAATTAACTTAATAATTTATTAATAAAATGATATATTTATTATAAAATTAAAAATCTTATGGGATATAATATATTTTTTAAAATTATAAAAAAATAATTTATAATTTAAATAAATTTTAAGAGGGGTGTTTGTAATTTATTTTTATTTTTATTATTAATTTATGTACAACAGCTCAAACAATCAAGAGTTTGGGTTTTTCTCCCACCAGTCCCCTGTCACTGGCCAATAAGGGGAGAGGAGTGGAGAGTCTCTCCACTGCCCCCAATCTCTCAAGTCTCTTCTGTTACTGTCTCTGCTTCAAAGCACAGGTTCCCAATCTCTCTCTCTCTCTCTCTCTCTCTCTCTCTCTCTCTGCATGTATTACTTGTTTATGAATATTGTGTAATTACAGAGGACTTTTCACATACATTTGGCAGACTTGATTGCTGAAACTGTTGTTTCTTTCTGGGTTATGGACAATAAAATCCCACATGGAAGTTACTTCCAGTACTCCCCAACAACAGGAATCCATGGTTCCCTTCACAGGTCTTCCTCTCTCCCCTTAGATCATGAAAGGTCAGTCTTTGTTTTTTTTATTTACTCCAAATCTGGTATATTTGTTTTATTTATCTTTTTGTAAATCTACATCCATTGAAAAACTCCATACATATCCCTCTACTGGATTTTGATTATCGTCTGCCTGGCATGGCTTCAATTGGGTTTTAATCTCTCTCTCTCTCTCTCTCTCTCTCTATATATATATATATATTTTAAAGAGTTTCAGTTGTATTGTTTTATTTTTTACTTGTAATTCAAATTGGCAATCTGGGTATTAAGCATTATTGGTTTTTGTTGTTTGTATTGCTTGCTAGCTTTCAAATATATGATTTCATTCCCTTAAATACACAGCTTCTTTGGGTGAGACTTAGCTGTGTCTGGATCTTGGATTTGTGGAGTGATCTGTGGAGGGAAAGGTGAAAAATTAGCTTTTACTTTATTCACTTTTACATCACTTTTTATTTCTATCCTCAAACACCTTCCCAAATTCAAGATTCAAACACAACCTTAAACACAACACTAAAGTACTTACTATTAGGTTTTGATACTTTTCTACTAGTTAACTTCACAATACAAAATCACATGGGTTTGCGCAGACAGAACTCACTCTATTTTTTAATAATATTTATTTTATAAATAAAATCTTTTTGTATGTGTCACTGTGGCCAGTGTTGCAATTGATCTTGAAAGGGAAAATATAATAAAGAAGCTATTGATACATTTATTTGTAATCTTTTGGTCTGGTAATTATTGTCAATAAGAGATTTTGGCCCTTTTATTTATTTGATATTATTTTTTTTTTGTGCATGATTCAGTTTTATGGCGATCTATTTACTTGATAACATAGCATATCTAAGTGTGCATATAAATGAGAATATTTAAGAAAAAATAAACTAGTTACGTGCTTCAAAAAATTTAAAGCATGCCTTTCCTTCATTGTTAATGTTTATTTGTTATGTAATCAATCAAGTGCTTTAGAAGATCATTTATTTTCATGTTAAGTACTTATGCTCTGTCCATTTGGTATGCTGAGTTTGTGATATGTGATTTGACTGGTACAACATTGGCAGGTACTTGAAGGAATTGTTGGCGGAGAGGCAAAAATTGGGGCCATTTATCCAAGTTATTCCAGTATGCGGCAGGCTTCTAAATCAAGGTATCAAATCTTCTATCTCTTGTTTGGCTGCAATGAACGGAGTATCCTATGGTTTTGGCTACACCTTCACAGTTTGTGCCGTCTCTGATAAAACAAAGAACAAGTATGCATCTTACATTGTGGGAGAGCAAAATTCATATCTTTTGTTAATCTAATCTTTGTAAAATATTGGTCAATTGCATTGGCTATTTATTTCAAATACGTACCAGGTAACAAGTACATGCCTGAGCTTGAAGTCTAGCCAAGCATGCCTTGTAATCTTGATTAATGTCATTTTTTGTATTATTTCAGTGGAGTCACATTTATTTTTTGTTAAGGCTATGTTGGTTTCAATGTAAAATATTTTACATTAAAAAAATAATTTGCTTGTGAAACAATTTTATGCAAAAAATACTTTTCCTTCCTATTTTTCTATGTTTGGATGATGTTTGTAAAATATTTTCCCAATACTCAGTTGCACTTTCTCTAACTTGCAATTAGTTGTGGACTTGGAGAACCAGTCATTCACCTTGGCTGCCGCAAAACCCAATGAATGCTGCGAACAATGTTTTTCCCCAACTGTTAAGAGGAGTCGAGCGAGTAAGCCAAAAATGACTTACAAAATTTTAAACCAGAGTCATTTTTGGCTTTTCATGAAAGTTATTATTGTTAAAAAAAATATTTTGTTTACTTTGGAAAATGAGTAAAATATTTTCCTCAAAAGTATTTTATGTCGAAACAGGCATAGTCCAAATGAAACATCAAAAAGAACAATTAAAGGAACCCATCGTTCTAGATTTGTTGCATTTCCATTCTGCCGAAATGCCTTAACGAGTAATTAACCCTCTTTCTGTTACTCCAGTGCATATAATTAGATTAAGTTCTCACCACTATCTTGATTTGTTGATTCACGTGGATTTTATACCTCTAGCTTTTGTTACTTTGGCTCCAACGTGCAGCAGTTCCAACAAAATAGTCATTCATTTACCTCATCTCTCCCCCCTCACCTCCAACCTTTCCCTTGCTGGTAACCCCAATAGTTATCGTACAGGAGCTTATATCCAAGTTTGGAAATAGGATATGATGGTTTAAGTTTTTGTTCCTGTGGGGGTGGGGTGGGGTGGGGTGTAATGTAAAACCAGTCCTTAGGTACATCTTTTCACATGATTAAAATGTTCAACCGAGGGGTGAAGTGGATATTCCGGATGTGACATAACCATGCAGTTGGCTGTGGTTATAGGGAAGGTGGAGGAACTTGTTAGTGGGTAAAAAAGATGATTTAGGCAGAGGATTTAAAAGGTTAAAAAATGTTGAGGAAACTAAAAGTGGAATGTGAAGAATGATGGTAGGACTTCTCTATCTCTCTGATTTTTTTTTTTTTTAGCACTTTTAATTTTTTACAAATAAAATACCCTTTGTAGTAGGAGGGAATTGGTGTTTTTTCTTCTTACAAGTGGGGCTGGTGAAGATTTTTATTAAACAGTGGAAAGTTGAGGAGGATTGCTTCAAGGATCCAACCAGAAATGGTAAATAAGCGTATTTCTAGGGAAATTTAGTGGCAGTTGTGGATATTGGTTTGCTTGTAATCTACTGACATGGTTGGTGGGCACAAGGTTTTGTACTGTTTATTGTAGTTATAGCATAATTTTGGTGACTTGTTCGTTGAAGATCCTTAAGGGTGGCTTCTTTGTATGGAATGGTAAATTCAGTATGATGAGTTTCTCTTTGAATGGTGCAATAAAATTTAAACACCTGCTTGTTGGGTACCCTCTAGAGGAGCTGGCTTTGTGTGGAGTAGCAATGTACCAGTCTTCAAATTTCTACCCAGACAAAGGAAGGTAATATCTTTGTTACCTGTGTTTGGAAGTGTCACTTGTTGAATAGAGTGCATTCAGAACTTCATCAATCTATGTAGGGTTTATTTTCTAATTCCGTATAAAGCATGGATTGAAGGAGGAAAAATGTTCCCTCAAATATCTGGACACATTCCGTCATAACTGAAAAAAAAAGAAGCATAGTATCTTTGTAGCTGTGGTAGGATGGAAATATAGCAAGCTTCTCATGCTTCCTTCTTTTTCTCATTCTTTCTCCCTATTTATTTTTTAAGCAAGGTCCATGAGGCACTAAATGAGGATCCTGGGAATTGATGTAAGTAACGTTGATCATTGGAAGGTGCACTGGGCGTGAGTGCTAGATCAGATCACAAGACCTAAAGGATAGAGTGTTGGGATGGCTTTTTTGGCAATAAAGCAGATCAGAGTGATGTATGACGAGTGTGGGGAACAGTGCCCAATAAGTTCCTAATACCAAACTGGATGTAGGGCAGCAATTCAGTAGGTCTTTAGATGCTAATTATGATCAGCTTCTGTGGCTAATGGTGGCCAAACTTAAAAGCTTTGAGGTTTAGTAAAGGTGTTACAAAGAGTTTAATTATTCAAGGAAAGACAAACGTTTGGTATGAGCAGTACCCCAGATAATATGAACAGTACCCAAGATACTACGTAAATGTTATTGTTGAATCTGCCAAAATTCTGACATCACAGAAGATGTTGCTGATACCTGGTTGATACCAAGTTATAATTGATTAATACCTCGTATGCAAAACAATATTGGATGACGGTTGATGAGGGATTTTCCTTAAAAGAAAGCCTTTGTAGCCAGTAGCATAACTTTCTTGGGTGATTCTGATTTCTGACCTGTATAAGAGTTTTTCTGTCAGTCTTTGCTATGTTTATCAAATGTGTTGGTAGTCTCTGTTGGAAGCTAAAATTCACTTTAAAGGTGTTTTGCTGTATACACCAAATTGTCTACCTATGTGGTTGCTAACGATCCTCACCACATACTAAATTGCTTTTTTGGTTCGTTCATCTCAATGAAGAAATCATGCGGACATCAAGATTGATATCCACCCAAAATTTTGTTGATCATGAAAGAATCGGGCATGAACATCTATTTAGGTCACTAGGTCAACAAGCAAATGGTGGACCAATGGATTTGGACAGGTGGTCTGCAGTGCACACACAGGTAATGAAATTTTGCATCTTTTGTGGAGTTTTACAATTTTTTATTTTATTTATTTATGTAACTTAATGTAGTTAATTGGTTTAGAATTGAATAGTGTCCTGACAATTGCTGTTATTATGACCATAGTTATCATTACTATTGTTAAGTTGTTTATTTATTTTTAATTTGGGTTAATCATATCAATACCCCTTCACCTATTAGGGAATATCACCTTACCTCCTCAACTATAAAAACGTATCAGTGCCCCCCTTCTAGAGGAGTGAAAGTGACGTATTTTTATAATTGGAAGGGTCAAAACATGCATATTCATAGATGAGGGGGTCAGGTGATATTTATTAATTGTTGATGGGTCTTGATGTTATTAGCACTTTTAATTTTTTACAAATAAAATACCCACTTATTGTTGAGGTTTCTATTATAAAATTGTGACTTGTTCAAAAAGAGTTTACATGAGGTATTGTTTGATCTGCTCACCTAATCTATGCAGGTCAATTTATTGCAATAAGTTTGGCTGTACCTGACACTTATTTCCTAACAATCAACATATCAAAATTTAATTTATAGTGTAGTTAACTGACTGAGCTTTACGGAAAAATGATTTGGAAATTTACACTATAAATGTTGCTTCAGGAAAATGAACTTCTCAAAAGAATCACCCCGTCTCAAGGTTCCCATATGGGTTGGCACAGGGCACCTGGAATCCCAACCACTCCTATTGTGAAGAGAGTTATTAGACTTGATGTTCCAGTGGACAAATTCCCAAATGTAAAGATGTTATCTTACTTGATTGGAAGTCGGGTTTTCATTTTTTACTTGGGGTTCTAAATTCTAACTCAAAATTTCTCACAGTATAATTTTGTTGGCCGACTTCTGGGACCACGTGGGAACTCTCTGAAAAGGGTTGAAGCAATGACAGAATGTAGAGTATATATAAGAGGTCAGGGCTCGGTGAAGGACTCTATTAAGGTATGAATATTTTCTTCTTATCATGAAATTTTGTCAAGCTGAATCACTTCAAGATAATTTACCAGATAATGAGAATGACACTGAAAATAAGTTGAGAAATTAAGGAAAACTTGGATTTGGGTTGGGTCAATTTGGGACACAAGATTTCGTTTTGTTTGATATGGTAAAAAAATAAATTATCAATAGTTCAAAACTATTCCAATTTCATACATATCGCAACACTAAACTGGAGAAATCTTAAGCAATTAGGGTATGAAAAAAAGAAAACAAAAAAAGAAAATGGAAATAAAATATAGGAAAAATTGCATTTAAATGGGAACAACTCGGTGATGTGCATGTGAAAGTTGTGGCATGGGACATGGTTCTCACTTTCTCGAGTTTGCATTTTCATGAAAGTGCAATTACTTCGAATTGTTCCCACTTAAATGTTTTTTTTCCAATTAAGGAGTCAATCTATGCCCATCTTCTAGTCAATGGTGGGTTGAATTCATTGGAAGAAAAATGGAAAAAAAATGTAACCCAAATAAGTCTGACAACCAATACATATAGTTCTATGAATGTCCATCTGTTTTTTGTGACGTGCTTATAATTTCCAATGATAGACCCTCGTCTTTTTCATCAGGAAGAAAAATTAAAAGATAAACCCGGATATGAGCACCTTAATGAGCCGCTACACTTGTTGGTGGAGGCCGAATTTCCCGAGGATATAGTAGATTCTCGATTGGATCATGCAATTGCAATACTGGAAAACCTTTTGAAGCCTGTGGTACGGATTGGAATAACCTTGCATCCAGTAGCAACTAGTACTACATTTTCTGTAGACTTCTGACTCCTCTCCCTCTCTCTCTCTCTCTCTCTCTCTCTCCAGGATGAATCTTTGGATAACTATAAGAAGCAACAACTAAGAGAATTGGCTATGCTGAATGGTACACTGAGGGAAGAAAGCCCAAGCATGAGTAGTCCAACTATGAGCCCAAGCATGTCTCCTTTTGACAGTACAGGACTGAAACGAGCCAAGACAGGACGATAATGCCCATAGATGAAGATTAAGATTTTTTTTAATTGTTTGATGATGAGTATCTGATTGATTGCTTGATTGTCAACTCTGACAAATAATGTGAATAAGGCCCTTCACATGCCAAAAATTACCAAATGGTTAGTTACTTTACGCCCACGCCCACATTTACTTCATGTATTTCCTGATAGCAACACTAGGCATGTAATTTTTATAATATTTTGCAGATTATTCAAGAAAATGACTTTAGATAACTTATTAGCCTGAGGAATAAAGGTTTTCGTAGCACAAGTCAAACCAAACCAAATCTTAAGTCCTATCAAATGGAGTCGGTTACATGAATCATTTTTTTCCATTCGACTCTATCAACAGTCATTTGGTTAGTCAAATTAAGTGGATATATATTTCTATTAACTATATTAGCCCATGTCAATTTTAGTTTACTTTTTTTCCTAACACTTTCATCTACTGTCATTATCGTATCTTTTTACTTTTGTTGGTTTCCGTTGTATATGATCAAACCATCTCAATCTTGTCACGCAGCACAATTGTGACAAGGGAAGAGCATTTATGCTTGAATAATGTTAGAATGACCATCTCTTTTGATCACATTTAAAATACCTATCTTCTGTAGTACAATCATGACCATTGGATATCGATGAACCTCATGTGGGATCTATTACATTTGTGATTGTAATTATGTTATATAAGATGGAATTTGAAATGTTGTTAAAAGTGATGGTCATTTTATCATTACTCTTTATAGCCAAGAAGTCTCATCAATGGTGGCATTCCCATGAAATAGAGTCCACTTCTTATTTTAAGCCCATTACTTTTCATTTTTGATTGCACACACTAGTCTACTTCATTGTGGCAAAAACACTAACCGGTAGTTTGACTCTTAAAGTCACTTGCAACATTTTAATTAGAACTTAGCTTAAATTATATCTTAGACTTAGATCATGAGTATTCCAACCAGCTTACGCAAACATGTATGAATGCCTCAAGCCTAATGAATTTAGGGGAAAAGTTTTTTTTAGTATTGAGTGAGATGAAGTAACTTAGATTGGTGAGTTTCTCTCTTCCTTCTCTCAGTTTAAATTATTTCATGACATAAAAAAATACCTTGGGCCATAGTATTTTGAACTTAAAGCATTTAACCAATCTATTTTTCCAAAATATTTGTGAAGGTTTCTCATTTATGATTCTTTTTTTTTTTTTTCTTTGAACGCATTTATGATTCTTTGTGTGGTAAGGAACTTATGCAGCATTATTTGGGCTTGTTACCCTTCTAATTCTAAGCTTGTTGTCCAACTAGTGCATAAGAGCTTTTGTGAGGTGGTTCTACAATTCTTTAATCAAAACCTATTTACAAGTTTTTTTTTTTCTGTCCAAAACCTAATGAAAAAAATTACTTGGGAACTTTCATATGATATCAAACTTGCATCTTAAAGACTAAACAAAACAATTGCATATATATATATATATATATATTTCTACACACAAAGAGGCCCAAGGCGTTCATGATGAGACTACAACACCATAGTAATAAGAGATAGGGTGCCAATTTCTAACAAGCTGAAAGTTGATAATTAGAAAATATAAGAATACCCCTTCTCTTGCTTTTCAATAATCAACTATTTTTTCAATTTATTTAAATTATTTTTTACCTCACGAGCTGTGAACAAAAAATGCACCAAACCAAACGATCTGACATAGATTTTCAAAATAAGAAAAAGATATAAACAGTTCCCTAAGCTGCAATAAAAACATTAGAACCAAATGAACTCATCTGCAACTTGGATCCCACCTCAACTCATATAACACAACCTCATCTGATGAACCATGCCATCCCTGCCAAAGTGCATACACCTTTAATAATGAAACCAAAGAAAGTCGAACTAAAATGAAGCTACCTATCCATGCTAACAAACCAGCTAGAGCGCTACGTCCTATGAAGCACAGGTATGGGTACGGATATCGGTACGAGTACAATACGAGTACGCCGATACGCCAAAATATAAAAATAGTAAGGTACAAGTACGACTGGGGTACACCTATATTTATTTATTTATTTTTAATTTATAGCTAAACTTTTAACATGCAAATCAAAGTTTAATACCATAAACCTACTACTACTAAAGTAAAAAACAAAAAATAATTATTGGTCAACAATACCAATATTAAAGTTGAAGGCCACGAGCTATTTTAATGAAGCTAAACAAAAATAAAAGATAATAAACCATTTCCTAGGTAGGACACTTAAAACATCAACTTTCACTAACACAATAACGCATCTTCCATTAACACAATAATTTGTCTTAGATTTTAAATTTTTTATTTTTTATTTTATATAATTCTGATTGTCTACTACCACAATAAAGCAAAAAATGTTCGAAAGAAGAATCATTGAAGGAGAAACGAAGAAAAAGGAGATCAGATACAATAGAAGGAACAACAATTTGAAGGGAAAAAAAATCGAAGAAGAAGAGGAAGAATCGAAGGAGAAGAGAAAAAATTGAAGAAGATGAACTCACCGGATCATTTGAGCTCCGTTGCCGACATGCGCCTCCGCCTTCGTCGATCGAGAGTTGAGTCGCCAACGCCTTTCTTCCAATGAGTCAAGATCGAGAACCACCTTGACCATATGACGAAGAAAAGGAACAAATATAGAGATATTTGTAAACCTAATTTGTTTATCTTCTTTATTATTACAAAACATCTAAAATTATTAAGTTTTTCAAAATGTACATAAAACAATTGCTCCGGTGCCCTTGAAAAATTATAAAAATTTTGTTTTTGCCTTGCTGTACCCAACCCCATACCCATGGAGTACCCACCGCGTATCCAATTTCTCCAGACCGTATAAAACGTACCTAGTGTGTATTTGGCATACCCGATACGTGTGCAGCCACACCGATACGCGTACCAATACCCAGTAAGTACCCAATACTTGTACGACAATACTTGTACGGCAATATTTTTTGGAGTACCAGTGCTTCATGATGTAGCCTACATCTAATGTCAATGCATCAGGAAATCTAACTTTGCTCCTGTTGTTGAAAATAAAGCATAGTGCTTTTTGTCAAATTTGACTTCTCAAATGGGTCTACCATTTATCAAAAAAAAGAATAATTCCCCAAATCAGTAACGTCTACTTTGCCAAAAATGCGGTCATCCCAATCTCAACTCAAGGAGGAAAGAATAAATCAACAACAACAACAATAATAATAATAATAACCCACAAAAAAAAGCAGCTGTACTAGCAGTTTTTATGGCTTCTTTTGGGTTAAAACACATTATCCATTAAAGAAATTCAAGCCTACCGATATAGGATCCGGCATAGTCAACCCTGATCCACTCCAAAAAGTAGTCAACCCTGAATTGGTATTTGGTAGAATAAAGCTTTGCAGAGTAGAGCTCAGTATTATATATTAACTCTGAAGTCTCAATGTCACCCAATTGGGTGCTTATGCCTATTACACAACCTTTAAGAAGTAACCCTCAATCACACGTGTCCGAGTCGTGAGACATTGTCACGAACAGCAAATTGAGACTTGCTGAAAATTCATAAAAAATTGGCAACCTTGAAAAAATACAAAAAATACAAAAAAAAAAAAAAAAAAACTTCAAAAATTCTGTTTGATTGTAATATTACAAATTTTACAATTAAGGAATCAGAAACCTCTGACCTCATTATATGACACTCCTCAATCACCTATCCCAATCTTGGCCGTTGGAACTAACCTCCAAATAGTAATTTGCCATTTACACCTGCACAGAAACCCTGACGCCACGCAATGGCAAAAAAATGGCCTAGATGATGGAATTAACTACAAAGAAAGAATAAAGTTTTTGTTAGAATGTCACTGAAAATAAGAGCAGCAACAAATTTCTTATACAAGGAAAGATATGCAGGAAATTGGATAAAAATACATCAAGATGTTTAACAGCCAACTAACTAGCAGTAACTCATCAACGCAATAGTCATAAGCTCAATATAGGAGCCACATCATAGATCACCATAAAATTTGGTTTTCTAACAAATCATCTTCATTCAACTATTGCAGGATGTCCTCTTGTAGTTTGTCATTGGCTTAACTTATCCTTAGCAGACAAGAAATGACATCATGATCCTTGATTGAATTGGCAAGTAGATTCATCTAAGAAGCCTACAAAGTTGGTGCGTTTTTCAAAATCTATAGTAAAATTGTAAAGTTCTCCATGCATAGTGAGTGGCGTTGCAGACTCATCTGAACAATTTAAATTGGCTACACAAATCCTCACAACTCTTCCTCCTACAGGGCCATATATTCTACAAAACAATGGCCTCATGATGATTTCTTCTTATCTCAACCATAGTTGTCAAATTGAGAATTGAATTGTGAATCGAAATGGCCTCGCACCGAATCGCAAATCGAATCATGAATGTAAAGGTTTGGTCACTTTTTCTAAATTACTTAGAAAAATATAGTTATATAGTAGGATGTTAAATATATCTTATGAATATAAAATATTTAAGCTTAAATCAATAAAAATGTTGTTTTGAATGATGATTATGTAGTTTAATAGGTAATAAGTTAACAAAGGTTCCTATGTAAGATCATTATTTTATTTTTTTCATTTTTTAGATATTTCTTATCAACCATTCTTAAAATAAAGATAGTAAACAAAGACAAACTCTCAATTTTGAAAGTAATAATAATTTGACAACGATATTGATATTTGTATAATAAGCATACATACTTTTTCAAGTAATAATGATCAAATAATAAGAAAGAATTAATTAGGATCTTTTATTTTAAAACCTAAAACATTTTAAAAGTGTAATTGACACCACCTATGTAATATTCAATTATATTTAAATTTAATAAAATAGCAATAGATAATTCATGGTATAAGTTACTTTTAATCTTAAACATCTGTAGAAAATATATTATGATTTTTTAAAGGAAAACAATGAGAAGAATTGTTAAAAACATATTGGGTCTGACTGAATCTAATTGTATCCTATTAAAAACTCAATGACCACTAAAATATCAACAAATCATGTATATATATATTGGTTATTTTGGTACTAAATGCAATTAGAAGTTGTGTTATGTCAGTTTTACAAAAAAGATGGAGAAAAAAAAGTCGAAAATATGTCGGACACTATAGTTTAAAAAATTGTATAAATCGTAAAACGTTAATCGAATCGTGAATCGTGCGATTCACTAGAGATTCACTTGCAAAATAGATTCACCCATAGATT